GCAGGAGATTGCGTCAGCCATTCAAAGCAAGTATAAGGCCACCCTTGCATGGTTGATTGAGCCCGGTGATTGCATCAGTTTTCTTAAGCGCTCGTATGAGCTGCTGGATGAGGAAACCATGGTGATGCGTCCACACAGCAAGCATGTGGAGAGATTGGTCAGCATGCTGCATTTGGAGTCCCGACGGGCTAAGGCAACGCCTATGCCAACCACCGTTCCTCTCGATTCAACACCACTCGATGAGGAGCAGGCGGGGACCTTCAGGAGTGCCGTTGGAATACTTTTGTACTTGGCTCCGGACGCAATCGAAAGCCAGAACTGCATACGCTTGTTGTCTCAACAGATGTCTGCGCCCACAGTTGGCGGGTTGAAGTTGTTGAAACACTTGGTATGCTACCTCAAGAGTGTTACAGGGTACTGTCTTGCGTTCGGCACGCCTGTGCCGGGGGATGGAATCGTTACCAAGGGTAACGCCACCCACTGCCTGGAGCTCTTTACTGATGCAGATTGGAGCGGTGATCGCCAGAGCCGCCGCAGCACGACTTCGAGTGTGATCGCATTCAATGGGCACGTCTTGGCGACATCATCGCGAACTCAGAAGACAATCAGCTTGTCGTCATGCGAATCAGAGTTCAACTCTTACGTTAGCGGGATGGTTGATCTCATCTATGTCAATAATGCGATCGAGTTCTTGCTGGGTGCGGAAGTGCTGAGATGCACCTTTATAGACTCGTCCTCAGCGAAGAGTCTAATTACTCGACAAGGCGTGGGACGAACACGCCACCTCGACGGAAAGCTCCTTTGGGTCCAAGAGTTGTCTAAGCAAGGTTACATGCAAGTCAGCGGAGTGAACACCCTCCGAAATCCCAGTGACCTTGGTACGAAGAGCTTGGCCCGAGAAAGGATTCTGTGCCTCCTTCACATGCTTAACATTGTCGATGTGAACAATGGCAATCAAGCTGTTGGCCTTGATGAGTATTGTGAAATGGAAAAGAAGCTGGCCCTGAGAGGCCAGGTCCGTCGGTTGCAGCAGCGTGTGTCTTTGTCTGGACAGAGTGAGGTGCTGATGAATGCACTTAGGATTGCAATGATCCTCAACGAGATCGGTCCTTCGAACGCCTTGAGCTTGGCAGCGGACATGAGCCCAATCACGCAAGCTTGGACCGATGCAATTTGGTTCGTCAATCTGATGTTGGACGTTGTGCAAGCAGCTTGTGAGAGGATGATTGTGAGTGCTATCCAGTTGTGCCTTGATCATCCACGTGTTGCGTTGCTTGCAGTGCTGCTAGTGACACTGGGGCCATGGTGTGTGGTTCTTTGCTGTTACTTGCGTAAGCCGTCCGCTTC